GGGCCCCCACCCCCGGGCCTGAGAGCATGGACGCCGTGTCCGCTCTGCTGGGACAGACAGCGGTGGAGCTGGAGAAGAGGCCGGAGGGAAGGAGCAGGATCTGGGAGACAGCTGGAGGTTCGGGGAGGAGACCAGTGACAACGAGACCGCAGCGGAGGAGGGAGAGGAGGAGGTTTTGCTGAGAAATCCTCACCAGATACGGAAGCGTGCCCGGCGGTAAAGGTGGACAAAGACCAACACAGAGACCCCTGCCCCGTGGCCCACTGCGGCCCAAGGCCCGGCGGGTGGGCACGCCGTCCCCAGCGCCATTTCTTCCAGGAAGCACCATCATCCGCTCCGAGACCTTCTCCCCTGGACCCCAGCGCCAATCCGTGTGCCGGCTGAATCGGAGTGACAGCCACAGCTCCACGCTGCCCAAGAAGCCACCTTTTGCTCGAAACTCTCTGGAGTGGCGCAGCGTCCACATGAAGCGGCCTTCACCTTTCAAATCCCTGCACCGCGAGCACCTGATGCGCACCTCGCTGGACCTGGAGTTAGACCTGCAGGCCACCCGGACCTGGCACAGCCAGCCGACGCAGGAGATCTCGGTGCCGAGGGAGCTCAAGGAGCAGCTCGAACAAGCCCGGAGCCACGGGGAGAAGAAGCTGCCCCCCGGGGTTGCGGGAGGACGAGCGCTTCCGCCCGCTGCTGAGGATGCTGGAGAGGCAGATGGACCGCGGGGCACAAAGGTGAGCTGCAGACAGACGGGATGATGAGGGCGGCCGCCAACGGTGTGCACAGGCTCAGAGGCCAGAGCTGCCAGGAGCCCCCAGAAGTGCAGTCTTTCAGGGAGAAGATGGCCTTTTTCACGCGGCCGCGGATGAGCATCCCCACCCTCTCCGCAGACGACGTCTGAGCTCCAGAAAAGTATTTCCTCTGGTCTGGGGACCCCATGAGCAGAGACTGGCCGCGTTATTTATGTGGTGTTATATGAAGGTTCTGCGTCCCACGTCCTCTAGTGCTCCTCTGGTTTGAAGATGAAGATTTTTTTTAGTTTGGGTTCTATTATTTTTAAAAAAAAAAGAAGAAAATACCAAAAAAAAAAAAAACCCAGCATTAAAATGACAAGATTGTATAGTTTGTATATTTAGGAATGTATTTTTGAGAAAGAAATTTAAATAAAATAATAACAGTAATAATAATGCAATTTATAAACCGGCTAGGGCAGTGGTCGGCAAACTGCGGCTCGCGAGCCATATGCGGCTCTTTGGCCCCTTGAGTGTGGCTCTTCCACAAAATACCGACTTCTGCACATGGGCCACGGAGTTTCAATCGCATTGTACCTGCGCGCCCGCACGTGGTATTTTGCAGAAGAGTCACACTCAAGGGGCCAAAGAGCCGCAGTTTGCCGACCACTGGGCTAGGGGCATTAAAAACCAATCAATAAATAAATGTCAGGTCATGGTGGGAAGACATGCTGCCTAAATGAAAGCTTTTCTCCTTTGGCCCTTCTGACTTTTCTGCTGCGGCCTTTCATTTTGTGGCTGGATTTTGTTTCCTGTAGCCTCACCTCCTCTTCCCCACACGCCTCCTCCGCGTGGCTCAGTGTGTCTCCAGAAGAAAAGGAGGACCACGCGGTGGGACGTGACCTGGTCGTGGGAGGCCTGCAGGGGAGAGGCTGTTGGTGCCGCCAGGGTTTCCTCCATACATAGTCCCCCTGTGTGTTGCCAAGGGCTGTGGCTCACGCCGGGAGGAGTTCTAGAAACCTGACCGATGGACAGACGGGTTTTCTCACCGTGACTCAGTGCTCCTGTGTCCTGAACAGACTCTCTGTCCTCCCTCTCTGTCGTGGAGCCTGACCTGGCCTCTTGTTAATATTCTCTTGTCATCCAAGAGGGGCTTGAGGTATTTCATCCTGAAGCCTTAGTCTCAAAGACTTAGAAAAATGTGAGTTAGTATGTGTGTGTTTGGGGTGGGGTGGGCCCGAGGGGGGTGTTAAAACCCGACTTGGAGCTTGCACTTTCTAAGCATGGATCTAGGAGGCGCACAACCAACATGAGCCCCTGGGTAAGAGCAGGAAGTTCCAGCTGGTCAAGGATGGCCTTTCAGGGAGGCCTTGCAGGGGCCTCATCCCCAGGAAGGGACAGGTCCTGGGATGGAGCGGTGGGAGGCAGTGCTCACCGAGGGCATAGCCTGGGGGTGTCGGGGGCAGAGGCCAGGGGCATGACCATATGGGCGTGGGTGGGATGGAGTAGACACCTTTGGGGGCTCCTGGGCAGATGTGCCCTGGGAGCTGGAACATCCCAGCGGAGTGTGGGACAGGCAGAGGCTCCCAGGGGCCGACAAGTTACAGGGCTGTTACGCAGTAGAAAGGAGGGAAAGGACTGAGCTTCCCCATCCTCACGCGATGAAGGCGCCCAAGGGACAAAGCAGACCAGGTCCACAGCCAGGATGCCCTCCAGGGTTTCGACCAGGCATCCGAGTGACCTTCAACGTGGCACCAGGGTCACACCCATGAGTTCAGGCTGAGATGGAGCAGGGGCTGCAGGGGCACCCAGGGCAGAAGGAAGCCTGGGGAGAGGCTTGGCCCGGCACAGCTGGGGAGGCGCATGAATTAGGACAGGATCAGGCAGGGGAGCTGCCAAGGCATCTGGGCTCTGATGGGGCGACTCGGAAATGGATGAGGCTAGAGGTCCCATGGGCCCACCCGGCTCAGAGGAGCAGCGTCTTCCATCCTGCGTGGCCCACAGCTCCAGGCACGGCCTCGAGTACCCCATCTACTGCAAAGGGGACGGCATGCCTGCCAGCGCCTCACAGGTCAGGTCTAGAGGCGGTACCTGGGCCCCAGAGGCTCCCAAACTCCCATCTCCGCCTTTCTGGAAAGGGGCCTGTCAGCGCCGGCAGCCGAGGGGCCCCCAAGAAGACAGCCAGGAGAAGGCAGGGAGCCCTGCTCAAGATGATGGGAGGGGAGCTCTGGGCTCTGGAAGGAGGGCCAGGGGTTCCATGCCCAGGCCTCCCAGGTTAGGCTGTCCGAAAGACGGGTCAGTCCCCTAGTCCGGCCCCCTGCCCCCAGACCTGCCTCTGCAGGGTGTGCTGGGGGTGGGTGGGACTGTCCTGGCTGGTCGCAGCTTGCTTGGGGCCTTGAGCAGGTGCTGCTCACTGGGCCTTGGTTTCTGCTTCTGTGAAATGGAACCGAGGATCAGCGGCTTCAGGATCTCAGTCAGGCTCCCCACAGGCTGCCTCGGTGACGTGCTGCCTCAGTGGTGCTGCTGGTTGATCTGCTGTGTCCTTCTCTCTGCACCCAGGACACCCCAATAAGATCCCGAACAGACAGTTGCATAAAGAAAAACACACAGTGAGGATAGCCCCCGGGCATGTCCTTCAGGCCCCAGTGGGCAGGGCTGTCCAGGGAACAGGGACAGGGCAGCGGCACACACAGGCTGGGGGCTGCTGGGCCCAAGGCGTCCCCCTGCGTCAGCCAGGCCGTGGAGCTCCACTCAGTGCCACCTGATGACAGGCGCCCATCTGCTCGTGGCTCCGTGGCCGCCTTGTCCTGGCCTCACTGGCCTGTCCCCTCTGCTCGCAGAGCTTCCATGGGTCTTGTGGCCTGTGTCCTCGTGGTTCCCCTGCGTCCTCCTGACGGCGACTCGCCATGACCCAAACTCTCCCAAATGGCTTCTGTCTGGGCTCCTTCCAGCAACAGCGCCTGCAGCTTCAACCTCCTGTCCTAGCAGGTTCAGTCCGCGTGGAGCCTCTGATGGGCCCAGAGCATTGTTTTGTGGCAGGTGATGTCATAGGTCAAAGGTTGGTCTGAGGGTTCATTAGGTGTCAATTCACCGAGGCCCATGGACCCAGGTCTAAAGCACAGCTGTTTAAGAGCTGACCTTTGAGCAGGCGTGTGGGTGGGGCAGGCAATGTCCTTGGCCTGTGGTGTCTAATGGGGGTCATGTTAGACCTGCTCATGGCACACGTATATATGCCTACGTATGTGTGCGTCTGCACACTGTACATGATGATGCATGCCTGTGTGTTTATGTGCAGACATGGGTGTGCATGTGTGTGCGTGTCCGTGTTGCAACACTGAGGGGAATGCACTCGGAAGTAGAATGGTGGTCACTATGAGAAACAAAAATGAGTTTGTAATCACGCTCCTGCTAACATTCCACAAAAGAAAATGAAGAGGTTCTATCTCATCCTCTTCTTTCTAATGAAAGCCAGGAAGCAGCCTAAACGTCTAGCGATACGCTAATCTCTCAGTGAATTGTGGTGGATGAGGGACATTTTTTCTCTAAGGTCTCCCTACAGTTGTTATGTTGCTGCGACAGTGAAAGCATCGCGAGGTCACGTGGGAATAGGAAGAGGCCAGGAGGAGGTGCCTTGGGGGAGTGGACATTGCAGGCAAACGAGCGTTTCCACAGCGGCCTCAGTCTTTAAGGCTGTGGGTAAATTCATGTTTACAGACCTCGCTATTCCGAGGGCGGAGCCCCAGTCATGCCCTGCCCACAGCCCTCCTTTCTTTTGTAGCCACTAACCGGGCCTGTGGATAGGAACTTGGGCTCTGGAATGAGACCGACCTGGGTGAACCCGGGCCCTGGGGCTGTGGTCCAGTGTGTCCGCCCACTGCGCCTGTGTCTGTCTGTGGCGTAGGGAACAGTGAGGCCTGCTCTCGGGCAGGTGAGCACCGCCATGCCCTGGAGCTGCGCCAATCAGCTGGGTGTCATCGGTCCCACAGGAACATCCCAGGAGGATGCGGGAAGGGAGACTCAGGCCTGGGAGTCCTCAGACCGAGGTGGGGGCCGCCGTGTGGCTCTGTGACATCACCAGTGCTGGCCCTGGGTTCGAGTGGCCCTCCTCCCACGGTCTCCTTCAGACCCGCTGCCCGGGGCTGGGGCTGGACTTGACTCCGGTCTTCAGATGAGGGAAGCAGGCACGGTGGCCACGTCAGGCCCTGGCAGAGCTGCTGCTGTGCCCACGTGCAGAGCCTCTGCCCTCACTGACCGCCTCTCTCCTCTCTGTCTCAGGGCACAGCGTGGATCCTGGCCTGGCTGGTCTGCTGGGGCGACGGGCACCGCGCTCCAAACAGCCCTTCATGGTCACGTTTTTCAGGGCGAACCCCAGCCCCAGCCCCATCCGGCCCCTCGGGCAGTGAGGCCCCTGAGGAGCGGCTGCT